AGGTATTAAACTGATAAAAATAGTACTAAACACTCCACTCCTATCTGGTGTCACATTAGCTTGACCGCGCAGTGCCCCAAATTTGCAGTAAGAGTGAACCCCACCGCCTCTTCCATCCCTTGTTAAAAACTGTAATGCCGCGGTAATACCTAACAATTGATAGGAGACGCGGAAGGTATAAAACTGATCAGAACAATACTAAACACACCACTCCTATCTGGTGGCACATTAGCTTGACCGCGCAGTGCCCCAAATTTGAATTAAGAGGACTGACCAAGCATCTTCTTCCATCTCCCTGTTACAGAAATCACTGCCATATCCATACAAATTGTACAGAATGTCCAGGATAGTTTTCCAGGGACAAATGTTGTCGCCTGTTGAACGAGGTGACCTTGTTCGGGTCCCAGGTGTACGGTTCCTAAAATGGCTGCCATATACACGCCCACTGATAGGAGACGCCGAAGGTATTAAACTGACTGAACAATACCAAACACCACTACAAGGTTTCTCCTGTATGGTTCCCTCAAATGATGCTTAAGAGACTAGTTGCCACACCCTAACAAAATATATTTTTAACATTCTCTCCACTTTGAACGAAATGACGTTTGGGAAGAGATTAACATAATTAAACACAGGCAGTAAAAATACAGTTTTTAGCCATACCCCGTAACTTTAAAACTACACATCCCATCTTCATAATTACATATTTGGAATCAGCACACTTAAAACATAAACATAACCAAAAATCAGCCAAATCCATCCAGGGGTTAAAAAGTTAGCTCGAGGTCCCTTTATGACCGACCGCAAGCACATTTTCCTGCCCAAAAACAGTTCCATAGATTTGGGCTGTGCGGTCGGTCTATTTCAGGCTGAAAAAACGACTAAGTCCCATCACAATTTAGTCTCTGCAGCTGAAATAAGGCTGGAAAGTGGTTGAAAAGACCAAGTCCCATCAATGGGACTTAGTCCTTGCAGCTGAAATAAGTTGAAAGACTAAGTCCCATCGCCGAATGGGACTTAGTCTCTGCAGCTGAAATAAGGCTGAAAAAAACGGCTGAAAAAAAGACTAAGTCCCATCGCCGAATGGGACTTAGTCTCTGCAGCTGAAATAAGGCTGGAAAAAACGGCTGAAAAAAAGACTAAGTCCCATCGCCGAATGGGACTTAGTCTCTGCAGCTGAAATAAGGCTGAAAAAAACGGCTGAAAGAAAGACTAAGTCCCATCGCCGAATGGGACTTAGTCTCTGCAGCTGAAATAATTTCCCATTTACTGAACCAAGTGGGAAATAGCAAGCAAGGCAGTAGGCCAACAAAGGGTTTTTCCAGAATTGTCTGGGGACACAGGGGACACCGTCTTAAAGGGGCAGTGTCCCAAACAAGTCTGGGGACACCGTCTTAAAGGGGCAGTGTCCCAATCTTCCTGATGTCCCAAAAAGGTGTTTAAAGGGCCAGCACCAGTCACATAAAGAGTCCATAAGCCCCAATATGCCCACCGACAGTCTTAAAGGGCCATACACACCAAATAAAAGTGCATACATTTTCACAATCTCCCAGGGGCCATAGTCATGCGGGAGGAGGCTGGCAAGAGGCTTCTCCACAACCCAGGGAAACAGGGCAATTTGCCATTTAAAGGGCCCGTTACAAATAGCAGTTTGTAACAAGGTGTCAATCCATATCTGCCAAGTGACCCGATGTTAGGGGGAACAGTCCCTATTCTGCTCTGTGTCAGTGTGTATCAGGGATCCTTAGGACAGGTGTCAATCCATATCTGCCAAGTGACCCTATGTAGGGGGACCAGTCTCTATTCTGCTCTGTGTCCGTGTGCATCAGGGGCTCTGAGGACAGGTGTCAATCCATATGTCAAGGTGTCAACATGTCATATGTCAGGTGTCAATCCATATTGATTGTGATTTAGGAATGTTGGGTGATTTCTGCCCTTTATGGATTAAAACCAGACTCTGTATCAACTGTGTAATTTTCCATGGGAGTTTTGCCATGGATCCCCCTCCGGCATGCCACAGTCCAGGTGTTAGTCCCCTTGAAACAACTTTTCCATCCCTATTGTGGCCAGAAAGAGTCCCTGTGTGTTTTAAAATTCGCCTCCCCATTGAAGTCAATGGCGTTTCGGGCGGTTCGCCGGTTCGCGAACATTTGCGGAAGTTCGCGTTCGCCGTTCGCGAACCGAAAATTTCGGGTTCGCGACATCACTACTTATCACTTGATCTGAGATTAAAATCTGCTCTTACGGGGACAGGGCCTGACCGCAGAACGAGCACGATGTAGGTTGAGGGAGCTCCTTAATTTTGCCATATTTTTAAGCCTAGAAACTGGTGAAATCCAGCAAATTTCTGTTAACATGGTCACCCACCCAGAGAACTACCTTTTGGCAATATCTGGACTGACTTACCCAGTTTCAATGAGGGCTTGCTCGTGCAGGAGGCTCCCTGCGGCCTGCGTCTAGATCCAGGGAGGGAGATGCGGCCTGTCTCCCACTTTATTTACCCCTTTCCTGCGAGTTGGGTCTTGTTTTCCCTCCTCTGGGCCAGCGAGGGTTATCCCAATCCCCACAAAGCAAGACTTGCTTACCAACGCTCTGAACCAGCCGAATCCTATCCACACAGCTCCCTTATGGTCCTCTCAAAATGGCCGATGACAACGGAGCTAAGAAGCATGGCGATAAAGAATCAGCCAGAGCCTGGGAGGCTGCTTTCACCCAGAGGTTCAGAGCCATTTACAAGAAGTCCTGGAAGACCCTTTATATGCGGGAGAAGCGACCTGCATTGTCAGCTCCTGATGCACAGCTTACAGGCAGAGTTCCAATCCCAGACGGCGAGCCAAGAAGGCCTGAGTGGCCGCACAACGTCCACACATCCAGAAGACCCACCACCAGCCGGGACTGCAGGGCTTCACCTTGGTTATGAGGAGAAAGGCCTGTAAACTAGTTCCTGCTAACACCTGGGGCTGGAAGGCTGCAGCATTGGGGGGCAGCTATGGAAGCTCTCAGCACCCTGTTGTCACATCCTGTTCTTGTTGTGGATCATTTCTGTCTTGGCTTCTGATATCCAGTACTCTTTTAACAATTCTTTTTTTCTTGTTTTTTCTGGTTTTCTATTCTATGTCTGGTTTTCTTTATGCTGGGTTTTCTGGGTTCATTCCTTTATTCCGTTCCTGGAATAAATGTGCCAGTGTGAGGCACGGCGGGAAGAGCTTGTTTATCCAAATGGGGGACATTGGGGATAGAAAGGATGTCAACTTGAATTTGTCCTTCATTTTGTTCCATAAGTCTAGTGAGTAGGTGATGGTGGAGGCTGTTGGGGGAAAGGGGTGGCTGGGTAGAGGCCGCTGTGGTCTAGGTATAGGGATGGGTGGTCCCAACCGAATATCATGTATTCAATATCCACCCATCTTTTCTTGTAAGGTGGTAGGTGCCATTGTTGAATTTGGGCTTGTTATGTTTATGTTAAGTAGTGTGCGAAGCTAGGGAGACCTAATCCTCCAGCTTGTTTGGGGACGTAGAGCATGGTTTTCCGTACTCGGGTTTTTGCCCGTTTCAAACAAAGGAGTCGACTGCCGCTTGGAGGGCCTTCAGATCTGGTTTGTAGAATGGTACGGGGAGGGTCTGAAAGATGTAAAGGAATCTAGGTAGGAGATTCATTTTGATTGAGGCGACGCAACCCAGCCATGATATCCCCAGGGTGCACCATTACACCAGGTCTTTGTGTGCTTTTTGTAGCAGGGGTGTGTAGTTCGCATCATAAAGGTTCGCTATGTCATTTGTTAGTTGGATACCCAATGTGATGGCTGAGGGGCAGACGCGAAATGGGAATAGTTCCCTTAGGCGTTCTAGGCGTGGTCTGTCGATGTGAATGGGTATAAGTTCTGATTTTATTAAGTTTAACTTGTATCTGCTTAGTGCAGAATAGGTCTGAATTAGGGCCAAAATGACTGCTATGGATTTTTCGGGGTTCGTTAAAGTTAGCAAAATGCTGCGACTTTAAATGATTTCCCCCCCGTACCCGCATTCCCTCGACCTCCTGGCTGTTGCTCTGTAGTAAGGGTTCGAGTAAGATTGTGAGAGAGGGTATCCCTGCCTCGTGCCATTGGTGATTAGGAAGCATGGTGGGGTTATTTTAGGGAGGAGGAGTGCTCCTTTCAGGTTGTGATAAATGGCCTGTAGGAAGGATATGAAAGCCGTCGGAAATACATAGCTTGCAAGGATTTGGTCGAGAAACGGCCATAAAAGGCTGTCGAATGCCTTTTCGGCATCTAGCGAAATGACTGCCATTGGGATTCCTGTGTTGCGCTACCCATATCAGGTCTATGCTTCGGCGGGTGTTATCCGATGCTTGCCTGTTGGGGATGAAGCCGACCTGGTCTGTGTGGACCATCGATTCTAGGTAAGGTTTTAGTCTGTTGGACATTATTTTGGTTAGTCTATTGAGGTCCACGATGAGGAGAGAAATTGGCCTATAATGTTTAGGTACAGAATGGTCCTTGTTTGGTTTTGGAAGGATGCATATATGTGCGGTGACCATGTCTTCTGGGAGTGTGTCTCCCTTCAGCAAGGCATTGAATACTCATGTGGTAAGAGAATTTGACAAAAAAAATTTATAGTACAAGGCCGTGTACCTATCTGGGCCCGGGCTCTTGTTGGGCTTGAAGGTTTTGAGGGCCGTCGTCATTTCTTCTGTTGTTACTTCTGCCGCTATTGCCATTTTAGTTACCTGGGGGAGAGTGGGAAGGTTTGGTTTGTCTAGGAAGGTGTTAATGGCCACCCTGTACAAAGCGTCGCCTGGTGTTAGGGAGGGGGAGTGGTTGTACAGGGCTGCAAAATATTTCTGGAATGTTTCCCCTATTTGCTCTGGGACGTTACTAAGTTGTCCCAATGGGGTGCGTATTTTGTCTATCCTTTTCAATTCTACTCTATGTTTGAGGCAATGTGCCAGCATAGAGTCTGCTTCATTGCCTTTCTCATGGTATTTTTGTTTGAGCCACATGAGGGCTTTCGCTGTGTCGTTCTGTGTGAGTTGTTTCACCTGATCTCTACTGGCGTTTAGTTGGGTCAGAGTGGACCTTGTTTCTGTATGACGTATATCAGTCATGGCATCTGTGAGTTTCTGTTGTCGTTGGCACTTTTTTGCCGTTGCCAGGCTAAGTATGTGTCCCCTGATGACTGCTTTGTGTGCAGCCCATAGGGTTATTCGTCAGTCACTAGTTTGTCATGTAGGAGTAGTTGATTTAGTCACTGTCGCTTAAGGTGGGGAATAGTCATGGTGAGCGTAATGTCTGGTGATTAGACCAGTAGATCGTGCCTATGTCTGTGTTGACAATTTGAGGGAGTAAGCGTGGGGAGATCAGGAAGTGGTCAATATGTGAATAGAAGGCGTGTGGTAAAAAGTTAAATCTCGTGTGGAGTGGTGTTGAGCTCTCCAGACGTCTTGTAGGTTCTGGGTTTCTAAGAATTGGGCGAATAGGGTATCATTTCTATTTGGCCGGAAGTGATTCTGGTGACGTGTTTTTCTGTCTATTGCTTGGGTGTGTACCGCGTTGCAGTCTTCCCCAATAATGATTGGAGTGTTTGCGTATGCCTGCAGGTGCGTTGTGCATTAGAGTCAAAATTTGTGATCCGGTGAAGTCGGGGCGTATAGCGAGCTGAAGG